TTCAATATTTTGCCCATAGAATCTTTCAATATTGCAACTTGAGGCTTAAAATTTTTCCTCAGTTCTTTCACCTTGAGATATACCAAGCATGTTCTTTCCTTTTGGTTTTCTAACTCCAGGTCTTTGCACATTTCATTATAGTAATTGGCTTTGTCTGGTGGAGCTGCTCTTTGAAATGTTCTATTCAGCTCTTTATCTTGTCATTTCTTCCGTTTTCTTTAGATACTCTCTGTTCAAAGGCAAGTTTCAGAGTCTCTTCTGAGATCCATTTTGGTCTTTTCTTTCTTTCTCGTAGTTTTAATGACCTCTTGCTTGCTTCATGGAAGATGGTCTTGGATTGTTGTTGTTGTTGTTGTTATGTGCCGTCAAGTCAAATCTGACTCATAGTGACCCCTCCTTGGGTTTCCAAGGCAGTATCACTACGGAAGTAGGATTGCCCAACCTTCCTTCCGAGATGCTCTGGATATCATCCCACAATTCTTCTTATTTTCGGTCATTGGTGTTCATTGCATCAAATCCATTTTTTAGATGGTCTTTAAATTCAGGAGGAATATATTCAAGATCATACTTTGGCTCTCATGGACTTGTTTTAATTTTCTTTAACATCACGTTGAACTTGCATATGAGCAATTGATGGTTTGTTCCACAGTCAGCTCCTGGTCTGGTTTTGCCTGAAGATATTGAGCTTTTCCATTGCCTCTTGCCACAGATATAGTCAGTCTGATTCCTGTGCACTCTGCAAAGTCCACATATATAGTCGCCATTTGAGTTGTTGAAAAATCGTATTTACGACGAATAAGTCATTGGTCTTGCAAAATTCTGTCATGCGATCTCCAGCGTTATTTCTGTCACCAAGGCCAAATTTTCCAACTTCCGGTGATTCTTCTTTGTTTCCAACTTTTGCATCCGATCACCAGTGATAATTACCATATCTTGATTGCATGTTTGGTCAGTTTCACACTGTATAAGTTGATAAAAATCTTCAATTTCCTCAACTTCGGCTTGGCACATAAATTTGAATAATAGTAGTATTAACTGCTCCTCCTTGTAGGCATATGGATATTATCCTATCACTGATAGGTCTTGAAATATCTTTTGTGATGATGAATGACATGCCATTCCTCTTCAAATTGTCATTCTTGGCATAATAGATCATGTGCTTGTCTGATTCAAAATGGCCAAAACCGATCCATTTCAGCTCACTGATGCCTAGGATAAATCTTTTTGCATTCCATTTCATTTTTGACAACTTCCAATTTTCCTAGATTCATACTTTGTACATTCCATGTTCTGATTATTAATGGATGTTTGCAGCTGTTTCTCCT